GAGATGGGGTTTCACCGTGTTAGCCAGGATGGTCTCGATCTCCTGACCTCGTGATCCGCCCACCTCGGCCTCCCAAAGTGCTGGGATTACAGGCGTGAGACACCGCGCCTGGCCCATATTATGTTTTGACCCATAGTATTTCTTATTGTTAAGGTGCCAGCTATCAAAAAAATACTGAGTATAAAATGGGAAAGAGATTCAGGGGAGTCTGGTCCAGCCAGTCCACATATGAATTCAGAAATAATACTGTATTTGTCCATGCAACAAAGTTCAGCATCCTTTTAAAGCAAGTGTGCCAACAAGGGTGAAGGAAATCGATGTCTGTGTATTAGAGGGTGAATAACCATACGCCACTTGGGGGAACTCATGTTCTCTTAGTCTTCTCAGAACTTACAAGCTGCAGAGACATTTTGTTGATACTAAGAGATGGGTTAGTGTGTGGGGGGGATTCTGAGCAGAAATGGCTTTTGGTGCCAGGTGACTCATGTTTCAGCAACTTCCACATTCAGCAGATGGTGATAATGCCAGCACTTAGCGATGGGGCTGAGTAAATCAGGACGGCATGTTTCCACACTTCTCAGATGCTTATTTCTAAACATTATGTAAAAACTATGTCTTCGAGCGCTTCTCTCAGCATGAAGGGATGGAGCCTAGGCGAGGTTTCTGCCCTTGGAGTTCATCTTGCCCTCCCATTGGAAAGCTATCATGGGCCACACTATGGGAACATGAAGAAAAGGTGACAGACATTCTCACCTTTCAGGCACCGCAAACATCAGGCCACAGAGTATACTAACCACACTACCACAGACATTGTCTGTCTTCATCATTTCTCACAAGAATATGGCCATATTGAAAGGACATTCAAGACCGGGCGCAGTGGCTCATGCCTGTAATCCCAGCACTTTGGGAGGCCAAGGTGGGAGGATCATCTGAGGTCGGGAGTTCAAAACCAGCTTGACCAATATAGAGAAGCACTGTTTCTACTAAAAAAATACAAAATTAGCCAGGCATGGTGGCACATGCCTGTAATCCCAGCTACTCAAGAGGCTGAGGTAGGAAAATCACTTGAACC